AGTTTAAATGTTTTTAAAACTTCAATTCATGGGAAAGATTTTTCTAATACACCATGACCCATTGTAACTCTTATTATTCATAATGTAAGTTTTTGTATTTTTAACATTATAGTCAATAGTTCCTTAGTCTTTTAGTCTTAGTATTTTAGTCTAGTTTTAAACTCGATTCCTAGGAAGACCATGTAAAATGATACGATTTCGTGTATAAATAAAGATTGATGATGATGATGATGATGATTCAAATCCCATCCTTCATCTTCAGTGCATATCTACGAAGTTTTTTTTTTCACACTGACACCCTGCCAAATTATTGCAGCTGCTTATGATGGACAGAAACATATTTTTCCTGACCGTGCATGAAAATGGTACTCTGTGGGATTCTCTTGACATGTTCAACACACCCTCTTCGATTCAAGGTAATGTACCTTAGTCACGCAAGGTGTCACGTCACAACCTCAGCGCCGATTTTATAATTCTTCTTTCCTCTACGCAAATATTAGAATCTTCATGAATTTGTGTAAGTTTCATTTAGCATAAAATCAGAAAAACAGTGTACCCAATCCTATCTAGATTTAGAAAGAAAAGCGTCATTTGATTTGTTCGGTTGGACAGCTTGCCTGATCACAAAGTTTGAAAGCCGACTTGTTTTCCTGAATTTGTATGATGGTCAGGTCAACAAGGCGAAATTGAATTACCACCGGAGTCTGAGTCAGATTTTTGAAGGCACTTTCGTGTTTTGAGTCATGCAAGGTGGGAGACGCTTATTTAGTCGCACATATTTACATTTTTTTGGTCTAACTTTGTGGGATTATTTGTCGCAAGGGGCCAGTCACACAAAACGGTTTACGCTCTTCATCGTTTTGTGCTTGGTATCCACTGTTAGTATGACTGTGAGCTGGGCCTCTAAGGGGAAGCGGGTTTTTCCAAATCCCCGGCACAAGAGATTGCGGCACATGAACAATTTGCGCAAAAGGAGACTGGGCACTATTATGCTTTGCAAAGCAGATTTTCTTATTACCACTGCACCAAAGCCGTTCCTCAAGTAACCTATAAGCTATATTCTTAATGTCAATTTAGGGAGCATGAAACAATTCTGAAATGCTGACGATTTGTTTAGTTAAGCTCATTTCAATTCTGCTTAACTATAAAGTAAAAGATAATTTTTTATAATGAATTAAATTACCAAGGTATGTTGGTGGGAAAGCCACGTATAAATTATCTTTCTTTGGGAAAAAAAAAAAGGAAAAACACCCAGCTGACATTATGCTTAATAAAGCTTACGTAAATTCGTTTTGTCTTTTACCTTGCATGAAAGGGAAGTGCCGCCACAAAACTCTGACTCGGAATTCAGTTTTGTCGTCTCCTTCAGGACCTTCAGCTGCAATACTTGCCAAATGTCCGGTAATATCTCTAGCACACTGATTAACGGGGGGAAAATTTTGTTAACAATAATTTCACCTTGTTCTGCATAGGTTCAAGACGTCTTTAGGAATTCAGCAAAGATTGAAGTCCCGGGGGTTCTCAACAAAGTTTTATACGAGAAGGCTCCGCCCCGAGGTCAGCCCTTTACCCTTTTTAATATCATACATGACGAATTACTCCTTAATTTTGGCGCGAAATTTCGTTAATTTTGCGTTAATTTGTAATTTCACATGTGAAATTACAAAATTTCCATGGCAACCCTTCCGTACGTCTCAGTGTCAAGATGGCCACCAAGTTTTAAAATGCCGTGAATGAAGATGTCGGGGCACAAAAAGACGCTTTAGAAAACCTGAACACACAAGAGAACGTCAAGAAGGATTCTAACAGGTATTTTACCGAAAACGTCTGAAAAATTCTAAACTTTATAAGCCAAATTTAAGGTCTAAGCATTTGAGAGAGTGGGGTTCTCGATCGATACGGATCATCCAGGATAAACATGTCAAAAATCCAAGATTGCTAACGTAATTCGTCACCCATGATATTAATAGGTAATCAAATGGTATACTGTGAAATTAGGGAATAATTTCACGTGCGTTTTGACCAAATCCTGATAATTTCCCTCGCCTGAAGGCTGTTTCTCGCATTGATTGCTTTGTTAATGGTCTGTAATGTGTCAGTTATCTATTAATAATCCCATTGAAGCGATTTATTTTGCTGGAAAACGTCGAATTAGATTTTCCTGCCAAGTTATATTGCGAGTGTAATTTGCATAAATTACTGCCGCCAACCACACGATGCCTGTTTTAATTTATAAACCCAAAATCGTTGATCTGCTCGATAACTGACTGTAAAACGTAAAAGAATGCAATCTATAGGAACCATCTAACGTTCTTGCTTAACATCGCCCCAATGACGTTATTTAAAAGATAGATAGCGGCAAACAAAAGTTGCGAAAATTTACTATTTACTAGAGAAAATTGATAACATTTTTATTGAGAAAAGGATGATATTTTGCTATCATGCAAACAGATTGTTAACTATTAGTCCGCTTTCTGAAATATTTACCTAACAAAGCTCCAATTTTCAAGGAGAAAATTGTCCCAAAACATGCAATTTTTGGCCCAAACTTCCCCCCTGATGCCCAGTGCAGGTTTTTGTTAGAAGTCAAACAAATGCCACAGTGAGTAGTTTCATCTGAAGTTCTAACTACACACAAAGTATGAGGAAAGGTTTTGTTTGACCATTTCCAATTTTGCTCAATCCTTAGCGACATTCGTTCTTAAGATTTTGGAGAAACAAAATCGTAAATTCAAGATTTGGCTTACTTCAAGAGTTTGGTAAGACAAACTCCTTAATGCAAGATTCTGGCTGATTTCAAGATCTTGGAGAGCCAAAATCCTGAATTCAAGATTTCGCCTAAATGGAAGATTTTGGAAAGCCAAAATCTTGAACTCAAAATTTTGGCTGACTTCAATATTTTGGAGAGCCAAAATCCTGAATAAAAGATTTTTGCTGACCTCAAGAATTTGGTAAGCCAAAATCCTGAATTTAAGTTTTCGGAAAGCGAAAATCGTGAAGTCAAGATTTTGGCTGACTGAAAGGTTTAGGGGACCCAAAATCCTGAATTCAAGATGGCTAAATTCAAGATTTTGGAAAGCCAAAATCCTAATTTAAAACTTTGGCTGACTTCAAAATTTTGTTAAGCCAAAATCTTGATTTTAAAATTTTGGCTAAATTCAAGATTTTGGCTCATTTTAATATTTTGGAGAGCAAACTTCAGAGGTCAAGATTTTTGCTGACTTAAACTACTGGTAATCTAAGATTCTGAATTCAAGATTTTAGAGAACCAAAATCCTGAATTCAACATTTTTACTGACTTCAATATTTTGGAAAGCCAAAATGCTGACATCAAGATTTTGAAAATTATTATCCTGAACTCCAGATTTTGGCTGACGTGAAGATTTTGGTGAGCCAAAACCCTGATTGAACACTTTGGAAAGCCAAAATTCTGAAGTCAAGATTTTGGTGAGCCATAATCCTGAATTCAAGATTTTGGAAAGACAAAATCCTAAATTCAAGATTTTGGCTGACTTCAAGATTATGGTAAGTCAAAATCCTGAATTTATGATTTTGGGTAAATTAAAGATATTGGAGAGAAAATATCCTGAATTGAAGACGTTGGCTGATTTCAAGATTAAGGATAGCCAAAATCCTGAATTCAAGATTTTAGGTAAATTAAAGGTATTGGAATGAAAATATCCTGAATTCAAGACGTTGGCTGATTTGAAGATCGTGGATAGCCAAAATCCAGAATTCAAGAATTTCGCTTACCCCAACATTTTTGAAAGCCAAAATTTTGAATTTAAGATTTTGCTGATTTGAAGATTTTAGTAAGCAAAAATCCTCGATTCGAAATTGTTAAAAAAATCAAAATCCTAAATATCAATTTAATATTTTTTAGCGCAAAAATCCTGAATTTATGTTGGCTGACTTAAAGATTTTGGTACGCCAAAATCCTTAATTCAGCATTTTGGAAAACAAAAATCCTAAATTCAAGATTTTTTATAAGTTTAAGCTCTTAACTGGGGTTAATGAGCCCTAAGGGAGTACTAGTCCTTTCCTCACTTGTCCCTAGTGTACTCTACTCTCCTCACCCTTGCAATCAAGGCTTGTGCAGTAGTCAATAGCTCATTGTTTAGCTCAAAGTACTTTTACTTTTACAATGTTAAAGTGGTTGCTAAAGCTTCCAGTAATTTTCCACAATATCACATGATTCTCACCTGTCTCGCCTTATGTAAATGCCTGGTACAATCAGGGCCACGGCAGCAGCTCATCGCTCGCCTCCAAGCGAACGATTCTCAGGACTCCACATCGCCACCTACCGGCCCAGCGATCATGCCGGATCAGCAGTTGGCCTCCATGATTGCTTCTATCGTGGAGCAAAAACTGGCAACCTTAAACTCCGCGAGCAACTCGCTGTCGAGCTCAATATCTGGCGTCGTTCAGCCATCCGCCCAACAATCCGCTCAGCAACATTTGCCAGGCGTTACGAGCCTCGCACCAGATCCCTCTCTCCCACCGGTCCGCAATGGCGGACAACAACAGATTCCGTCCTCTCTGGATTTCTCGCTGTCCTCCTCTCAGCAAGATTTGAATCTCGGAACACCGGAAGACGCAGCCCTCCTGCACCCCAACTACAGAGTCCCTTCTATCGCCAGCCATCTTTCCAACAGCTGCATCGCAGCCATAACAAACGGTGAGTACGTGGACCTTGCTAGCCTTCTTCCTTTTTCGTCTCTACTACGAGACCACGTTACCGCTAATTCCCAGCTTAAACTACAAGTAGGAAGCGAGGGCCTTACTATACCCCTCCCATCCCAGGCTAAGCGCCCCAAAATTACTGGGATCGACCGATGGCTCGACGCCTTTGCCATTTACTCGTCTGTACTCCTCTCCTCTTACCCATCCCGGGGGGTGGACCTCTTCGCCTACCAGCAACTGATACGTGAGTCAGCCCGTAAGTTCCCCGGTATGGCATGGTATTTGTACGATATGGAATTTCGCCGAAGGGCCTCTCACAACCTTTCCATTAACTGGGGTCAAAGGGATGTTCAGTTGTACCTAGACACCTTTACTGGCGTCCCAAAAGCCATACTTTGTAAGGCCTGCAGCAGCTCGGATCATGTAACCGATTCCTGCCCCCTTTCCCCCAGGTCTACGGACTCTTCAGGGCCCAAACGTGGTGACCTCTGCTTCAACTTCAACAAAGGGGTTCCCTGCGCCCGCACCCCCTGCCCCTACACTCACCAATGCAACAAGCCTGGATGCACTGCAGCCCACCCAGGAAAGGACCACCCTGACTCCTCAAGCTCTGGACCCACCCAGTCAAAGACTAGCCGCTCAAGCCATTCCACCCGAAGCCGCAATTGATAACCTTTCTAAGCTGTTCCCTACCACCCCTATTGACCTTTCCCAACTTGCCCTTTAGTTGCATGATCACCCTGACCGCGCATCCGTTGATGCTGTCCTTACTGGCCTCTCCGAGGGTTTTAAAATTGGTATCCAGGGTCCTTGGGTTTCTAAAGAATACCCCAACCTCATTTCTGCCAGGCAAAATCCACACATCGTAAGCACCAATCTCCTGAAAGAGTTACAGCTTGGTCACACTGCTGGCCCATTCGTTTCTCCCCCTTTTCCCAGTTTTCAGGTTTATCCCATTGGGGTTGTTCCAAAAAAGCACTCCACAGAGTGGAGAACCATTTTTCACCTTTCCTTTCCCAAACATCAAACCACTAGCGTCAATTCCCACGTTAACCCAACCGACTACTCCTTACACTACATTACAAAAGATACTGCCATCTCTGTCATTCAGAACATTGGTCAAGGGTGCTTTATGTTCAAGTTGGACATCAAGTCAGCCTTCCGCAATACCCCAGTACACCCATCCGACTGGGAGCTCCTCGGTATGAAATGGAACGGCCTGTATTTCTTCGATACAGTGCTCCCCTTTGGATTACGATCGGTACTCTATCTTTTTGACCAATTTTCCTGCATGATTGAATGGATAATTAAAAATAAGCTAGGTATCCCTAACGTGATCCACATCCTGGATGATTTTTTCTTTGTCACCAGGCCCCCTAGGTCAGACTGCCTTGCAGCCCTCTGCAAAATCCTTTGTCTTTTCAGTGAACTCAATATCCCTGTTGCCCCCGGTAAAACTTTTGCTCCCACCACCTCTTTAGAATTTATGGGTATTCTCCTTGACTCCACAAGAATGGAAGCTCGTCTTCCCTTCGACAAACTAATCCGTGCTCAACAGGCCCTTCAACAGCGGTTACACCGTAAATCTGCCACTTTGAAGGAACTTCAGTCCCTGATCGGTACCCTACAATTTGCCTGCAGGGTTGTTGCCCCGGGCCGGGCTTTTCTGCAAAGAATAATTAGTCTAACAAAGGGCATCACTAACTCTCGCTGGCACATTAAATTAAATGGGGAATTCCGCAAAGACATTTCCATGTGGTTAAACTTCCTTAACCATTGGAATGGAGTTAGCCTTTTCTTAGGGGGTTATGTTCTCTCCTCGCCTGACCTGCAATTATTTACGGCGCCTCTGGGTCCCATGGGTATGGTGGCTATCTCAATGGGGAATGGTTTCAGGCTCCCTGGCTCCCTCAACACCTCCTTTACCCCACCATGGGTATCAGCATTGATTGGCAGGAACTGTTTGCAATTTACATTGCCTGCTACCTCTGGGGCCCTTCCTGGTCAGGCAAACATATTTGTATGTGGTGCGACAACTTGCCAGTTGTCTCCATCATCAACTCCAAACGCTATAAGTCCCCTAGGATCATAGACCTCGTACGAGCTATTACAATTCTTACCTTAGAACACAACTTTTCCTTTACTGCTAGACATATCCCTGGACTAGATAATTCAATAGCTGATTCTTTGTCCCGTTTTCAGATGGACCGCTTCCGTCACCTGGCTCTCAACGCCTCACCCTCCCCCTGCGTCATCCCTCCAT